ATATACAGTTTACCCTCTCTATAACAAATACTAAGTAAATCTCTATATATAACAAACTTCACTTTTTTATATAATAATAATTTCTCCTTATAATCTTAGTAAACACAAATAAAAAGTAGATGGATTCTTATTAATGAACCTTCCATAAAATAAATAAATGTTTAAATAATAAATTTTCAATAAATAAAGTAAACATACATACATAGTCAAATAAAAGCCAATGTAAAGATCCATATCAATAAGAAAGTTCTGGAAGAATTAATGTTATATGCTCTATATGCAATTTGAACCTTTTACGCATTTTCATGGAGTGTGGTCCTAATACCTTCAAATATCACTAATATGTGTGTATCTTTTCCTACACTTTTATACATTTCTTTAATGAAAGAGTAAGGTATATACAACTTTTATTTTCTTTAAAAAAAGAGATATATATATATATATATTAATATGATTTTCTTATAATTTAAAAAAAAAGATATATGTGTATATTAATATGCTTTTCTTATAATTAAAAAAAAAGATATATATATGTATATTAATAATAAAAAAATAATGAAATAAACTAACTTTAATAATAATAATTTATTCTCTATGAAGGTTGTAATTTTGATCTTAAAGTTGGAACAAAAGAAAATAGATTGAAAAAGAAGGAATAAATTAGTAAATGAATGGAAAACATTCTTAGCTTTTATATTCATGTTTCATATATGTTGCTTGTTCTTATATATATCATATCATTCATATATTTTATAATAAATTTATTTATATACCTTATATATTTATATTGAATTCCGTTTATTTGACTAAAAATTATACAATTTTTTGCTTCATATGTAACCTTTAGATTGATTTGCATCCAAACATATCCCAAATCTTTAAATGAAAGTGCATAAGGAAAAGATAATAACCCGCATAATTTTTTTAAAAAATAGTTGTTTAATGAATGGTGTTACCCATAACAACACCTGGCATATTTTGAGTACTTTAAACAATTATGAATTTTACGTTGTACAACATAAATTAAATTTATCACAGTGATCATCAAATTGTGACATAAATAGAATTTCCACTATGCTATGTCATAAAGATAAGTTAAATATAGAAATGATGTAATGATCTACTTGTGTAATGTGGCGCAATGTGTGGCGTAACTGTTACAATAAATATAGAAAGATGTTCATTAATCGTGATGCAATATTTAGCGCATCACATGACTTCCGTAACAAGTTCGTTCTAATTGGTTAATATTAACGGCCAATTGGTTGGTCCACGGTTTAGTATCTCACAATACCAAGGCCATGCATAAGGTTGCTTTCCAAAACTCCACCAGAAATAAATCAGCAGGGTTTCGGCAGGTTACACATTAATTGTTTATTAGAGTTTCAGCAGAGTTTCACATTTTGAGGTTTTGCCATTTTGGCATAGTTTCAACAGGATTTTTGATAAGATTTAATATAGTTTTGTCATGGTTTCAACAATTACTAAGGAGGTTTCACCCAAAACCTTAGCCATGCATAAATGAAACTTTTAATAATGTGTGTCTACTCAGATCTCTGGTGTTCACAAGAATAAATAAATAAATAAGGAGGATCAAAAAAATACATTTTCCTTCCCATTGTATGGTTTCTTGTGAATAATAAATCTGATGTTGAACATATGGGCATCAGATTTAATTAAAATTTCCTATCACAACATGTGGTTGGGTACTTTCACATTCCTCATAACTTTGGATTTTTTTTTTTCCATAGGTGAGGGATTCCCTACTTGTTGGAAGGCTTTGGACAAAACTTTTCTTATCTTCCCCTCAGGCTGTTTTCATATGAGCATTGATTGTTGACAAGAGTTGGCACCTGCGTGATATACACCTCTAGAATAAAGTTGGTATCTGCAACTTGGGAGGTTGCAACCTGGGTTGTTGTTTTGGATTTTCCCTGAATTCCGAGTTTTGAATCCTGGATTACTGTCTTGTTGGTGGCACATCTACTCACCAATAACCCTACCCCCATTTAAAAATATCAAATTCAGTTGGTCAAACAAAAATTAAAGAAACAGAACATTTATGAAAATGATTAATTTATGCATAACATACCAAACAAAACCTGAACCATTTTATTTTACAGCTTTCTCCTTGATGCCAATAATCATGGTGACTATCATAACTGCCGCCTTTATACTTGTGAGATACACGTTCTCATTGAGCTACACTCCTTTTAACCTAGGGTGGGTTATATGAGCAAAAGCCTCCCATTTAAATAACAAATTAGTTGGTCAAATAAAAATTAAAGAAACAGAACATTTATGGGAATGATTATTTTATACAAAACATACCAACAAAAACTGATCCATTTTATTTTACTAACATCAGAGCCCAAATGCAATTTCAGGGTCACCAACTTACTTTGAATTGCAACCTCTTGTGCTTGAAACGAGTTGCAGATTCTTGTTGCTTTGATGGATCTGGATGTTTATGCACACCTAATATCACAACTCTTCTGGTCATAGAGCCATCCTTAGAGGTAGGATCGTTGCAAGCAACTTGTCAGCTTCTTCTGGTCTGGTGCTGTGAAGGAAGATTAATGAAAAGTGTCATTGATGGCTGATGCAGCTTCGGTAAACTCCAGGGCCATGCGCCAACCCCCTAGAATTCTGTTGCATCATTGTATCATCGGACGAAGCTGGTCATATTAGCCTTATGTACACAAGAGGAACATGCAAGAATGATTGTAAAGTGTTCAGGATAGCGTGCGTGCCTTCAACGTCTGTAAATTTCCAATAATCAAACGTTCAGTATCGAAATGTTTCATATTTGAAATGTTTCTTTTTCAACGGTGTGCTGCCTTGACATCTTGTGATTATATATTATAATAATATTGATTACGACAAGCCAAATACCAAACATTTGTTTACCATCTTGATGAGAATCTTATAATTACCCAGCAAGATCTGTTCCGCATTTTGATTTCAATAATATTCATTTATATAAAATAAAATACATACAAATTAAAAAAAAGGGACCTCTGGATAGTTATTAACACGTTTCTTTTTAGAGCCCAATCATGCCAAATAACATCACTCGCATTTTGTCATCTGAAAAATAAATTTTTTTCCAAAAAAAAAAAAAAAAAAAAAAAAATAGGGTTTCCATACATAAATAATTAGTGTCGATCGATCAAAAATCTTCTTTTTTAAAAATGTCATATCGTCCAAATAGAAGACAAGAAGATAGCCGAGGCGCTCGTGGGTAAGTGTAGTTTATCGTAAGAATGGTGGTGGTAGTTATCGCCGCCACTCGTCACTCTAGTTTTTTTGAAAAATTGGCATCATGGCACAAAAAGTTCAGCAACCAAGTGACTTATACTATAGTTAACCATTATAATATATATTGCTTCTTAATTTATTTCAATTTAGCGAGAAAACAGTAAGTAGTAAATCATTACAACGTTCGAATTTCAATCCTCAAAATTCATATTAATATTATTATATTGTAAAGAATACTTTCATAAATAAAATTGGCCAATTATCGACCATTGATCGGAGAACATTAAACACTGTAGATGAACAACTCATTATTTCAGCAAGTTACTATCTTGAAAGGATATTAAAAACCATATTAATAATAGTAGTAGCAGAAGTAATGGAAAATTTTTTTTTCTTAGTCAATTAATAATAATTAATATAGTGATTGGTTTTTCCTTAGTAGTAGTGATGTTTGCCGATAGAAAAATCTTAGCCGACTAAGAACTTATAAATCCCAGTTGATGAAAAACCGTTTCAGATGGCACCAAGCTTGTCAATATTATCATTACTACTACTATCGTTATTATTATTACTATTGTTTACTATTGTTATTATAATATCTTGCATTTAATGGTTCAAGTTATTTGTTTTATTCGTAATGAATTTGAGTATTCGAATTACATTGAGGTTTATTTAAATAAACCAAATAATTTGAATAAAATTGAGGTATATTACGAATAAATGAACAATAAGTCGAATGAACCAAATAAATTCGAAATAATAAAGTAAAGATTGATGTTTTGGTATTCATAGTTTGTAGTTAGGAACAAGATCGATTTTTAACCAGTGGATAATAATAATGATAATTTATTATTCAGTTGCAAGATAATACCTTATATTAATATATAGCCAGAAATTTTCTACGCTAGTAAAATGTTTTCAGATGATGACATTGTTATGAACTCCAATGTAAGTTCTCCTATATTTATTTAACAATATAATATTTTAATAAAATTCAGGAGATCTTTGATTTATAGCTTGTTTTGATGTTTCGCCTTTGCAGGCAGCAGCATAATGTAAAAGCCAGCATTCAATAAGTTCTATTTTTGAGATTGACTCTTGAGATATTTCACCATTATTAGCCGAATCCGCATGAAAAATCCTTGCAAGATGGTAATTTATTTTTTTCTTATTTCCAACCTTTTATTTATAATAAAACATTGTCATTTAAATATACATATGCAGTTTGTAAGCAACAAGAAATATAATTTCGCTAAAGGACTTACAATGTTTGAATCAATATATTCCAAGGTGATTCAGGTTGGAATAGAAATTTGCGGATTCAGATGTTGAAAATGATTTAATTATTCAGTCTTTTTGATCACTAAATGGGTTTTTGAAGTTACAACAATGCCAAGTAACACTTATAGCAGATTATTACCTACTTTTAGCTGATTGATCCTTTTCAAAAAAAGTTAAGCTGATCATCATTATGATGCAAAGAAAAATTCAGGGTGGGTGGTGGCTCTAAAAATTTTGAAGATGCATTCGGGTTCTTCCTCTTTTTTCAAAAGACCTGTTAAAATCTTTCCTATGTGAAGATTTCATCTTGAAAAGGCTATAGCAGAGTTTGGCATGAGCATGGAAAGGATTATTAAAGCCGATACTGAGCCCAATATCTTAGGTTTAATATTATTACTTTATTTTTTGGGAATGATTTTTAAGGAACTCTACAACTTGTAGTTGTATACAATCGGGAACTCTGCACACACGCACAAAAAAAAAAGGGGAACCAAGTAGAGATTTGATCACTAAAAATTTTTCCACTACTACACTTAGATGACAAGGTAATGGACATGAAAAAGAGGCTCAGATTAAAATTCAACAAAAACATCAAGGGGTTATTTTCCAACTCATTCATCTTTTACTTTTTTTAAACCCAATCGCTCAGCAATGTCCCTAGACATAAGTAAAGTATTAGAGCCAGGATCGACCATAATTGCCAAAAGTACTAGACGTTTGATTTTACCCCGAACAGTTGGAACATCTATCGCATCTTTATCCCAAACAAAGTTAATTTCCATATCTTCGATAACTTCTTCATCCTCAGTATCTTCAATTTGTTGAGAAGAAGTATCATTTGTGGTACTAGATTTCTGAAAATTTCGTAAGATTTTACGTATAGTCTCCTCAAATAAAGCGGAATTTTCAAGCTCACTTTGAATGATTTCACGCATCCGTCTCTCTAGTAAAGTTGGGGCTGGGTTCCTCTTATCCTTTGTAGAATAGATATCTTTCTTTTCTTTGGATCGTTTCGGAATTTGCTTTTGCGAGGATGTCGTATTGAGTACTTGCTTAGGCCGCTCTATTTTTTTTTTATTCTGTCTATATCAACATTGGAATCTTCATCGGATATATTTTCCTCTTCTTTGTAAGAGATAAATTCATCGGGGAGTTCTTCTGTGTCAGAGTGGCTTTGTTGAAATCCATCGGCAAAATTCACACGACCAGTTTTTTTCTTAGAATTAGCAACCATATTCCTAATTACTGGACAACTGCGATAAGTATGGCCTAGCTTTTTACAAATTTCGCATTTACGTTGGATTGGTCTAGCAGTAGACAAATTGGTTGCATTAATTGTTGGCTCTGGTATATTAGATAATTCTTTAATCTGATTGACTTTATTGATAATTGCGTAATCGATTTCCATTGGTTCGAATACTCTGTTATCTTCAACTTCGAGACCCATTTCCGCATAATTCTTTAACTCTTCATAGTACTTGGCTTTCTCAGTTTTGGGACGAAAATTTCGTTGAAATGGTTGAAGCTCCGGTTGTTGAATGAATTGTTGAGGCGGTTGAAATGTAGGATGTTGTATGATTTGCTGAGGCGGTTGGAATGTAGGCTGTTGAACGATCTGCTGAGGTGGTTGAAATGTCGTTCCATTCATATTATTCGCACTTCCATA